GGAGAGAGAAAGGAGAAGGAAAGGGGATTTAAAAAATTAAGATGTGCTATGTAAATATTCCAACTCTTTACAAGAAATATAATCATTACGTATTGAAAACATGTACTAATAAAAAAACAAAAATTAAGAGTTTCAGTTATACTAGATTGGATTATTTTGCAATAACTAGATGTTATGCAAAAACACAGAAATAGTTTCCAAGACTACTGCTACAAACAGTAGAAAACATCTGACAAAAGGCCACTTCAAGGTCCAGGAAAGTACTGGAAGATCCAAGAAAGTACTGTTGTCAAACCAACTTAGTCAAACTGCAATTAGTTGAAATGTCCATTTGGTTATCTTAGAAAATCCAGATACCACTTTTCCATAGGAGGATTTGTGTTTTCTCAGACACTACTTTTACTTACAAGCTTCTAATGAAAGAATCCCATTCATCATTTAAAATGAAAATATAAATCCACAGGAATGTTTAACCATCATCCACTTCCTCTGCAGGTTACCCAAGAACTGGTATCGTGTTAGGAACTGTGGAAGTAAAATTCACTAGAACAAAGTATGCTCCGGTCCCCACTCATATTGAGGCTGAAAAAGGTATAGTACATTACAAAATGGCTTTCAACAGAAGTACTTTTTCTCTAGTGTTTTTGAAAGAAATTTTCTCATTATATGGAAAATTTTCTTAGGAGAAACAACATCTCTTCCAAAGAAATCAGATCAAAGAGGCAATTCTTGACTATCATCAGTGTAACTCAATTCATTTCCTCCACCTCCTCAAGACCCCAGTTAGTCCCCCCTGGGGTCTCAGTTTAATTCTCATGTTGGTTTATGGACTTTAAATTATTTTCACATCATGACATGTCAACCATTTATCTACCTTCTTTAAGCTCAACCTTGGAGCCAGAAACATAAACATCCTTCAGGGAGGCGGCTTTGTTTGTCCAGACTCTGTCCTCTGGAAAACTTATGATCAGCAGGAAATGAAAACAACCAGCATCGCTTTTGTTTTCACTGATTTTGGTGACATTTTGAAAATGGAGCCGCTAAACCAAACCAAATCTCGGGACTCATTCTGACCAAAATCCAAAACAAGGAACTTCACGTGGAACGTTCAAAACTCAATTGTCTCCATCTACAACTGAATAAAAAGCTCAGATTAAAACTGGCAACGATTTACTTCCTACAAACATGCTTTGTTCCTGCCTAACTTGTCAGCTCATAGAAAAAGAAAGAAAGAAAGAAAGAAAGAAAGAAAGAAAGAAAGAAAGAAAGAAAGAAAGAAAGAAAGAAAGAAAGAGAAACGCCTCTGTACAAGCAGCTGTCTCATTCAAGACGCTGAATCCTTTCATGGCCGTCAATACAAATGTGTTACACAGAACCCAGTCCTGGACCATTGCTCTAAAGTGCTGGCCCTAAGTGTGGGCCTCCCTGGCTCCCTGGTATGCCTTTCTTCTAATGTGATGACTTGCATTTTCAATAAATGATTACAAAAATCCCATGCTCTGCATGGAACCCCGCTATCTCTGTTTTCCCAGAAGCCTGATTGTGGAAACAGCCAGCCCTAGAGGCAAAATAGAGAAGGACTCTGACATTTTCAACTCTTAATCCTAGCTCTTGCTTTTAACTGCTCTAGGATCATTTAATGTCTTTACATCTTTAAATGTTTCCTTAGTAAGTTGAGCAATTTGCAATAACCACCCTGGGCTAGTTTACTAGAGAGAAGTCAAATCAAAATTATGGCAAACTATTTTCCAAATATACAGTGGATGATGAATAACAATTATGTCTTTCCCAATGAACCAGTAAATAAATTGATGTCACATCGGAGATGCCTCATTATGTCCTGGATTATTTAGAGAGACACCACCAATCCAACCTCAACATGAGTGGTAATGTATACCAATGGACAGACAGAGAGCTGGACAGTAGCTAAAAACAAAAATTCTCCTTCACTTCACTCTTTGTGGCTTTGATTTGCTCCTCTTCCTTCACTTTGCTTCTCTTCTCATCCCATTCTGCAAGTCTCCTCTCAGACTCAAACTCTGCTATTGCCAACTCCATTAGCCCTGACCTAATGGAAAGACAATTCCAGGAGCTCAGAATGCATACACATAATTCTCAGTCCTGACATGCATTAGCTGGCTGACCTAGGATCTATCACTTCAGAGCTTCAGTTTCCTCAACTACTAAAATGGGAGAGACGTGTCTTTTTAACACCACAGGATCCTTCAGAGGTCTTTTCCATCTGGGTTTTTTGTTTGTTTGTTTGTTTGGTACAGGGATCTAACTCAGGACCTTGCTCTTGCGAGGCAGATGGCAGAACCACTGAGCTAAATCCCAGGCCCATCTGGGTTCTTTTGGGTATAATGTTAGATAATCAGTGAGGGTTGAAACACTGCAGTTGCCCTGTGGCAATGTCTCTTTCAGCCCTATAACCAGAGCGTTGGAGTCAGTCCTGACAACAGAACCCATAAAACATCTCAGAGAGGCAGAAGACATTTAAAAATCATTTTGAGCATATATTATGTATTAGAAATGACTCTATAAGTTGTTATGGGCTGAAAAATGTCCTACCAAAATTCATATGTTCAAATTCCCAATCCCCAAAACTTCAAAATGTGACTTTATTTGGAGATAGGATCTTTAAAGAGATAGTTAAGGTTAAATGAGGTTATTATGATGGCCCTTATCCAATATCCGTGGTGTCTTTATAAGAGGAGATTAGGACATAATACAAACAGAGCAAACCATGGGGAAAAGATGTCATCTATAAGCCAACAGGAGAGGCTTCAGAGAAAACCACCCCTGCAGACACTATTAAGGCATCTTCTAGCATCCAGAATTGTGCATAA